AACACGGATTGCTATGACAGTTTCATGATAAATGATTAAAAAATTCCATTCGTTGTAGTAATTTAAAGACTGATTTGTTTTAAAGAAAAGCTTGTATAGCAGTTTCCTAAGTTTCCTTAGTGAATTTGTTTTGTGTTTTTAACGGGAGTGGGCGGCTCACACTTCGGAATCGGATAATCAATTATTGTGTGTATTGTAGTTACTTATGGAAAAGAGTTCTATTGTGGTATCGATTTTGTATTTATTTTTTTACTCTGAAATTCATCAAAACATAAACCAAATTTGTTACCAAACGTGTTAGTCGACTTAGATGAAATTGCTTGTACTTGTGTGTTTTTAAATCTGGCAGAGGTCATACGGATTTGACCCTTAACCATTCAAATTTCATAATCGTGTTACAGAAACTCGAGTTCAACAAATTTTTAGAATAAACGATTGAATAATAGTGGTGGGATTTCGTCATTGTGTTTTGTCGTAAAGTACAGTTGTACTAAAATAAACACGGAATTAGTTTCCTTGGTATATAGACGTGAGCAAGTATTAAAGTTTTGAGATTGGGATTAACAGATATTTTAATTGATTTGTGATCAACAGAGGCTAATCCTACAGATACAGAATACAACACCCCAGTCCTAAAAGGTTTGTATAAACTTACTATCTCATATTCGATGACTCAAGGATTTTCAAACTGCTGATTTTGCAAAGTGTTTTAACCTATGAAGGTATTTTTTGTGACAAGATGTCTAATATCTCTATAATTATGTGGTAAAAATATCATGATCTAACCTCTGATAGTTTATGAATTATCTAGAAATGAAAATTGTTATCGTTTTTTTTTCTGGGCCACCCGATACACATATAGAGTTAACTTTTTATCGTACTATATCTGTGGTGCAAATCAGCGGTTCAATGTTTGAGCGGTTCAATAATTTGTGACAGATGGTGGTTCAGTGTAGTGTTATTGTCATATTCATATGAAAATAACATTATCATATTTTATCTAAATAAAAATAAAAATATCAAATCTAAACGTTTTGCTTCGTGTTTTTTCTGTGGGTGACTCCACTTACCTTCGATGATCTGACAAAATAGTTGCAGGAGATCTTTTCTATGTCATTTAATATTCAACCAATAAGGCTGTGGTCAAGGCAATATTTTTCAGGTATATTTGAGGAGTTCTGGGATTTCCACTGTTAAACATTTACATAATGTTTTTAAATGCGATGTTAAGAAGAATAATATCAGATCACGGATTGTAAGTGACGGGCACACGACCAGTCTTGGTCGCCGATTTTTGTCGCCGGTTCGAATCTTAAGTAAAATGTCATGTGTGCTTACGCTTCCACGACAAGATTATCGCGTTGACGGCAGGATTTATCGCCGATTGTTTTGTTGTCTGACAGCGTTGTAATCCAATCCGATTCATTTTTCTTTCAATTACACGATCCGCACGTGAGCACCGAAAACCATGGAAAACGTAGATTTGTGTGCCCGCAGCCGGTCGGCGAAACTCATGACAGACACTAGTTTGCGACAAAAATCGCCGACCAAGACCGTTCGTGTGCCCGCAACTATAAAAAAAACATCTTGATTTGATCAGCTTATTTTAACTTATTCAAAAGGGTTCGATACTTTTCGGGGATTTTGAGGTCCGAGTTGCATATAATTTGCTGTGAACACCATATCGCATAGGCATATATTGGAAAATAAAATTATACTATACGCTGGGAGGATGGGATTAAGGATATGCTTACTCTTCTAGACACCTGGTAACGCTTTTCATAATGATATATTTCCTCATTTATAACTGATACAATTCCCCATTTAATTGGTCTGCTACCAATGCATTACCGAACTGTTATTTTGAATTTCGAGTTTCGCTGGCGGTTCTATATTCTACTATATTGTTGTCATGTTTATTGTAAATTTGTTCCCACTGCGTGATATTGTCTTATGTTAGGTGAAATATAAATAGTGTTTACTACAGATATAATATTATAACATCTCAGTAATGTTTTGATTAAATATCAATTGTAAAGAATTGACCTGGTTTGGATTATGATTATTCAACCGTGGAATGGCCTATTGTTCATATTTAATCACACTTTATTTTTATAGACACATAAAAGTAGTCTATGCCTTTAGGGTATGTGACATATGGTAGTTTGAATAATTATTTTGAACTGTTCGTGGCAATATTCAACAACAGTTTTAGATGAGAAGGAATATCCCCCCCCCCCCCAATCAATGAATTCGCCTACTTTATGTCCTTCCATTATTAATTCAAAACGAGTTCGCCTACTTTATGTCCTTCTATTATACATTTAAAACGAGTTCGCCTACTTTATGTCCTTCTATTATACATTTAAAACGAGTTCGCCGACTTTATGTCCCTCTATTGTTAATTTAAAACGAGTTCGCCTACTTTATGTCCTTCTATTATACATTTAAAACGAGTTCGCCGACTTTTTGTCCTTCAATTATACATTTAAAACGAGTTCGCCGACTTTTTGTCCTTCAATTATACATTTTAAACGAGTTCGCCTACTTTTTGTCCTTCTATTAAACATTTAAAACGAGTTCGCGTACTTTTTGTCCCTCTATTGTTAATTTAAAACGAGTTCGCCTACTTTATGTCCTTCTATTATACATTTAAAACGAGTTCGCCGACTTTTTGTCCTTCAATTATACATTTAAAACGAGTTCGCCGACTTTTTGTCCTTCAATTATACATTTTAAACGATTTCGCCTACTTTTTGTCCTACTATTATAAATTTAAAACGAGTTCGCCTACTTTATGTCGTACTATTATAAATTTAAACCGAGTTCTCTTACTTTATGTCGTACTATTGTAAATTTAAAACGAGATTTAAAACGAGTTTGCCTACTTTATGTCCTACTATTGTAAATTCAAAACGAGTTCGCTTCAAATGGGTTCGGGTAAAATGAGGTCGCCTACTTTATGTCCTACTATTGTAAGTGTGACTCTTATTGCCGCACCAATGTCTTGACGAACTCCGAAATACTTGTTAGCTCTTGTCAATTTGGACTTCAGTTATTAAAGTGTGCAAATCTGCTGAACTTGAATAAGTCATCTCTCCTCACGATTCGTGTCGACCCAGCTGTACATGGCTACAGATAATGCAGGAAAGATCATTGCCAAAGGGTTTGGTCACGTGACCAGCTGGTAGAAGGATCTGAAGTGAACCTTATTTGTTACCATTGTAATAATGGTTGTCTGTCTGTCTGTTTCTTTCGTGTTATCTATAGACCCCTCAACAAAAGGAATGAAGATGTCAGAAACACAGTCGCACAATGTCACCAAGACGAGGACTATGATCATGATTATGCTGTACTAGTGGATTTAAACTAGCATACGCTAGTCTTACAGTGAAGCTTGATTATAAATCGTAAAAGGACAAAATATTCAAGCTTGTTTCCAATCTTTTATTTCAAATTTAAACGGGTATAAAGCTAAATTATTTCCGGAAAATAACCATTCAAATTTCAATAGCATACAGTGTTAAATATAGGATATATATCTAGGTTTCTCCGCATTCGTATTTATAAGGATACTACCTATTAGCATAGACATAAAATTTGATATTTCAAACTTGGTCGATAAGATATATTCATCAGATGGGTACCAAGACTAAAGAATACAATTTCTATATAGGATGATTTATCCATTAAACTAGATAATTATTGAAGCTAATTACTGTGTTTAATTATCATTAATTATTACTTAGTTTTATGGGTTTATTGGATTATACAGGGATTCTGTTGTATAGTTATGACACCATTGATGAACAACGACTCATTTTGGCCGAGATTAAAAATTTCAATATTTAGTTCATCCTAAGAAATAGTATTCCTTTTATCATCATCTAGACTGAAACTTGAACAAATATATGTTTGAAAGCGCTCATTCGCAGTAGGCCTACATGAGATTAGGGCCCTAATCATTTTTGCATTTAGGTCACATAGATACCTTACCCTTGGTATATATTCTTCATAATGTGTGAAAAGGTATACAGCTCAATAATCACGTTTTGATAGATTCGAGTATAAAAACATACTTTTATTGTCAATATTTTACCACACCTATGTAGACACACAGTTTATTTTAAATTTGCAATTTCATCATCATGTATTGAAAATCACTAAACCATTTCACCCTATACACGTAGTATGTATATTTGTCTATGCAATTATTTATGAATGAATTTTATGAATGAATGAAATTAAATGAGGACGTAAAAAATAAAAAATAAAATAGCCAATCCCACGGGTCGTTTATTGATAAATGCACAACCTTTATATATTATATTTGTTTAAAAATTCAGTCTAATTTCAAAATTTCGTAAAATCTCTAATCGTTTGACATAAAAATATGTGTTTTAAATCGTTTAAATGTAAATATGTGCTCTTAAAACATTTTCCTCGCGTTTTAACTAAAACTACACCTAACTAACCCATAAATATAAAATAGTAAATATCATCCAATCGTCTTCGTTTTAGGAATTGACGTCACTCAAAGGACGAATTTCATAGACGAGAAACGCAACTCTACTGACGCTCGTTTGCTGGGAAAATTGGCTTAAATTTCACCATAATGACTGAGGTAAGTGAATTTAAAATTTTACGTTTTTATCTGGTGGTGTAATTTTACCTGTTGCCCGGCTTAAGATTTCGCCTTAGGCCGCCTAAAACAGATTTATCATCCGTTAAGATAACTGACTTTGATATAGGTCAAACTATACACTATCAGTGTACGAGGTTCAGCCAATGAGAACACGGTAATAACTAGTCAATATCAATCGAATTGAAACGTGGATGGTTTACGATTAAATTTCACTAAATGTTTCGCTTCATGTAAGGACGTGAAATTAATAATTTAGAATATTTTTAGGTATTCCGATAGCTTGATGTTCGTACATTATGACTATCATATTTGGTTTATGTGCGAAATGAAATTTTGGTTGAAATTTCGTGTTATTTAACACAACCGGGATGTACTTATTTAACACACAGGTCACGTTGTTGGTGATGATGAAATACCAAAGCATTGAAAATAATAGTCCGAATCGCAGTCTGAAATGATCTTTGATAAACCAATTAGATTTGATACTAAGCTGTGCTGCGTGTTAATACAGCACAATGTTAGATTCAAAAGATAGTATGGTGGTATCGGCTTTTAGACCCAGACACATATTGTTTACGGTTCCAGCAAGTTGAAGGTCATTAGAAATAACATTCGAATGTCAAGGTTACAGACATTAACGTGGAGGTCCAACGGGTTGTTGTCTTCTAGAGGAAATCTTATAACGTCATTATAAAAAATAATAAACAAGATGGTTACTCAAAGGAACTCTTTAATGAACCTAGCCACAGGGAGGGTATACATTGGAGGAAGACTGGCTAGATAAGAGGAGGTGGGGGAGGGGGTGGGGGGAGGGGCAACTGTCGGAGTTGCTATTCTAAACGGGTCCACTCCAAATGCTATGGAAAAGTCGAGAGTATGAGACATTTGGAAAAAGTAGAATGAATGGATGTACATTCTGACAATTTTTGAGGGGATAAAAAGAATGAAATTTATACTTTGAAATTTCTTAAAATTGAAGTGAGGGTACAGTTTGTGGGTACAAATAATATAATTTTAGGGAGCAAATGCCAACCCCATCTACTACCGTCGCCACAGCTCTTATCCAATCTCTATCCTCTCAATGTGTAATTATGATCCAATATATAAACACAATACACAACTATTTAGCCTACTATTCCTCGTGATTAATACCACATTAAGAGCATAGTACATAAGAATAAAATTACCATGACATCAACATTATATATCATTATAAACCATTATATCTCCACAGACTGATTATTAACAGTTATTACATACAATGTGATGAAATTTAGAGCGCCGATTATATTAAATTAAAATACAAGACACATGTATCTATAACTACGGAAACGTATTAGGGCCATTCATTTTTTTGGGGAATTTTCAAGCTAGTATGTTGAATTTTCAAGTTAGTATGTTGAATTTTCAAGCTAGTATGTTGAATTTTCAAGTTAGTATGTTGAATTTTTAAGTTAGTATGTTGAATTTTCAAGCTAGTATGTTGAATTTTCAAGTTAGTATGTTGAATTTTTAAGCTAGTATGTTGAATTTTCAAGCTAGTATGTTGAATTTTCAAGCTAGTATGTTGAATTTAGTAACGTGAATTTTCAAGTTAGTATGTTGAATTTTCAAGTTAGTATGTTGAATTTTCAAGTTAGTAACTTGAATTTTCAAGACCTGATAGTCCAAGAGGTGGAGGGGGGTCGGGGGATATATGGACAATGGTGTGTGACAATGGATTTGTTGAGCAATAACCCCACCAATTAAACCGTCCCGCTCATGCGAAACTACGTATGGTTCTTACGTGGATGTAACACACTCTAATTTTGAAAAAGGCTCCAATATTTCAACAAAGACTTCGAATCACATATCTAGGCTTACAAATGTCTTTAACGTGATTTGAAGGCTTTGCTGAAATATTAGGCCTTTTAAGAAATTCGACTTATCAAGCCGAGTTAGAGATTAAAATGAAATGTTCGTGTGTGTTATTTACATGTAAGAACCCTGTAGTTTCGTATGCCATCCTGCCGAGATTTTGTGACGCGTACAATATGAGCATTCCGAATTGTATTTCGTTCGCGTCACAAAATTCCTGCGGTGGAGAAGGAAGAAATTTGATTGACTGGTGGTGTCTTTTTTCGACTAGATTTTCAAGAGGATCGCCTTTAGACCCTAATTGAAGTGGCTCTATTAAAAATAAAACATAAAAAATTGAAAAAAGACTCTGATTTTAATTTAACTAACCCCCTCCACTGGGACCTAAATTGGGCTAGCTTCAGTCTGGATTTGTGTAGCTCCAGTTCGTACTTGACCTGCCATTTGTAGGCTATATAATATGATTATCATAATATATACCATTATTCTCGATAGTGTCAACAGAAACCTTACATTGTCTGGAAGTTTAATCATTTGAATAGAGTTTAAGAAAGATTATAATGGATGACAAGAGTCTTAATAAATATCGTGACTGGCAATTCTGCTATTGAGATTATTTACTTGATTCTCTATTGTAATAGTTCAACGTCTGTTTCTACAGTTCTACCATTCTTCAATTATAATGACCTACACTGGTTCAACATCTAACAACTTGTTTCTACCATTCTTCAATTATAATGACCCACACTGGTTCAACATCTAACAACTTGTTTCTACCATTCTTCAATTATAATGACATACACTGGTTCAACATCTAGCAACTTGTTTCTACCATTCTTCAATTATAATGACCTACACTGGTTCAACATCTAACAACTTGTTTCTACCATTCTTCAATTATAATGACCTACACTGGTTCAACATCTAGCAACTTGTTTCTACCATTCTTCAATTATAATAACCCACACTGGTTCAACATCTAACAACTTGTTTCTACCATTCTTCCATTATAATGACATACACTGGTTCAACATCTAGCAACTTGTTTCTACCATTCTTCAATTATAATGACCTACACTGGTTCAACATCTAGCAACTTGTTTCTACCATTCTTCAATTATAATGACCTACACTGGTTCAACATCTAGCAACTTGTTTCTACCATTCTTCAATTATAATGACCTACACTGGTTCAACATCTAACAACTTGTTTCTACCATTCTTCAATTATAATGACATACACTGGTTCAACATCTAGCAACTTGTTTCTACCATTCTTCAATTATAATGACCTACACTGGTTCAACATCTAGCAACTTGTTTCTACCATTCTTCAATTATAATGATCTACACTGGTTCAACATCTAGCAACTTGTTTCTACCATTCTTCAATTATAATGACCTACATTGGTTCAACATCTAACAACTTGTTTCTACCATTCTTCAATTATAATGACCTACACTGGTTCAACATCTAACAACTTGTTTCTACCATTCTTCAATTATAATGACCCACACTGGTTCAACATCTAGCAACTTGTTTTTACCATTCTTCAATTATAATGACCCACACTGGTTCAACATCTAGCAACTTGTTTCTACCATTCTTCAATTATAATGACCCACACTGGTTCAACATCTAGCAACTTGTTTCTACCATTCTTCAATTATAATGACCTACACTGGTTCAACATCTAACAACTTGTTTCTACCATTCTTCAATTATAATGACCCACACTGGTTCAACATCTAGCATCTTGTTTTTACCATTCTTCAATTATAATGACCCACACTGGTTCAACATCTAGCAACTTGTTTCTACCATTCTTCAATTATAATGACCCACACTGGTTCAACATCTAACAACTTGTTTCTACCATTCTTCAATTATAATGACATACACTGGTTCAACATCTAGCAACTTGTTTTTACCATTCTTCAATTATAATGACCTACACTGGTTCAACGCCTATCAATTTTTCGTGATATTTCCAGTTTTGCACTACAATTACCAAATGTCGGACACGAAATTTAGACATGTTATTATTACAGTTACAGTGTTGCGTTTCTGTATTCGCGTGGACACTACTAACGGAGGACAACAAATTTTCAAGGAAATATTCAAAGCGAGGTGTAGCGTAGGCAATTTGAATTAAATTGCGAACATTAACATTGAACACCTTCAATCTAACTGTCAAAATGGGCAAGTTG